TCCCCTCCTCCCTCGCTCCCGCCCTCGCTCTCTCCCCTCACTCGCTCTTCTCTCTCCACCTCGCTCTCCCTCGCTTCTCTCCCTCGCTCTCTCCTCGCTCTCAATCCCCTCGCTCTCTCCACCCTCGCCTTTCTCCTTTCGATTCTCGGCTCTCTCATTCCTCATTTCCTCCACGTCTCTCATCTCGTCTCCTCCTCTTCTTCTTTCTTCTCTTTTCTCTGTCTCTTCTCCTTTTTCTCCTTCCCTCGTCTCTTCTCTTCCTCCCTCGTCTCTCTCTCTACAAAACATCTTAATTCTTACGGTTTGCTTTTTCCAACACCTCGAGGTGTCCCCAAAACTTAGTTCTGCTGCCTTTCCGGTCGTCTCTTCTTCTTTTGTCTGCCCTCCTGCCATCTAGTCACTTAATCTAAGAAAGAACCTTAATTTGTCAAAATCCAAATCCTTCGCCCGCCCTGCTACCGTCTCCCAACGTCGTTTCGTTCTTGTCCTTCCTTCGCTTTGCCTTCATTGCACCCTCGGTGTTCTTTTTTTTAAAATATTAATGCCTAACAATCATGTTCGTGTCACTTGCTGTCTCCTCATCTTCGCGGCGCTACACTACTTTTCGCCTGTTCAACACAGCTACATCCCTCCTGCTCTCGTCTGTTCTTGTTTTCCACTCCAACAACCAATTCCACCCACCTCGTCCAGCCTGCCTTCAAGCCCGCACTCATTCCACAATTCCGTCTCCTCGTCTGGCCCAAACCTTGTGTCGGCCCCGCCTGTGTCGGCCCTCATCGCCGGACCCTGACCGGTGGCCCGGCGGTTGTTCCGCAGAGACCGCTCGGTGGACACGCAGGCGTGCCATGTACACAGTCAAAACACAAAAAACCATCAATTTAACAAATGCTGTCCGGCCTATTGGCAAAACACGGGGCCCCAATGGGATTCCATCTGTCTCGAGGCGGCGGGCGGGGCAGGCCTCCTTTCGACTCTCAATTAACCAGCCCTCGCCGGGACCGAGCACTCAGGGGACAGGCAAGCGAAGCGGGCGAGGGGAGAAAGAAGGTTAGAGAAAAGGGAGACGAGGAATTAAGGCAATTCGAATATTTGAACGCAGAAAAAGGGCGGTTTTTTTTTTGGGCGTTTTAAATTTTAAATAGATCGGTTGGACAAAAAAACAATCTTTCTGGAATCGGCAAACGACAAATGATTTTTTTTTTTTTATCTATGATCTATGCACGGAAGAATTGGCTACATAATAAAATAATAAAAATAATATTAAATTGTATAATATAAGAGTAAAAATTCTTTTCTAATAGACGTAAGCTAACATCATTCTCTTAGGTAAAAGAATTGTAATGAAACTTTTTTCTGAACTATTAATTTTGTACTAAATTTGACGGTTTAGTTATTTTACAAAATCTATATGGACGGGAGGACGTTTAAATTAGTCCATCAGGGCCCCAGACCATTTATTCAAATACTGGGTGTGATTTTAAATTTTTTATAAGAAGTATAATTGTTGTGAATAATTGGCCAGGGATTATTTAGAATTCTTGTGGGTTTTTCCAATAACTCTTCCGCGAATCCTGATCTTTAGTTTGTGGAAAGTTTGACGGTAAGTGAATATACATTGGTAATTTTATTAATTGTTAAATACAGTTAAAGCTGCGCGGGGGGATAGGACGTTCGGAGAAGGAGTGTTTATGTATGCAGGCATGCTGGAGGAAAGATAATAATTTTTTAAGAATATTGGTAGGTGCTTTACTGATCAGGGCCCAGCTCGTATTGCCCTGGTGATGAATTTGATTTAGTTTAATTATCTAAAGATAAACACGTTATTTTTAGACACCCTAGAAATCATTTCCACACATCATGACATTCCCTATCGCAACGAACAGACGACTGTCCGTATAATCAACGCAAATCACGCAATTCGCTATAATCCTCTCTCCCTTTCTACAGGGGTAAACGGTTTCCATCTTTTACCCTGAAACATCAAATCATCCCAGCCCTGGCCTCCGCGTGCCTCACGATCGGACAGTTGGCCAAGACCCTGAGAATTCTTCGCTCTGGGCGTTCGTGTTACCCGGGCTGGTGTATAGTTTTAAACTCAACGAGGCTTCTGGTTTGGCGTATTGAACGGACGGCTAAAAATCCTCTCGAGTCAGCGGTTGCGAGAACCGCAACACGGGCGCGTGATGACGCGCGCTAGGATAAAGACGCCCGTCTGCAGGGACAGCTCCCCGGTATTGGCAAGCGTCCGTGTGCATGCCCGCGGGCACGCGTGTTGCTGCGTGCGTACAACTGAGCGTGCGAAAGACCGGAACAAAGGCTACTCGTCGCTCCGTCTGGGCGGAAACCGGTGTTGAACAGTCACTGCAGGCAGCTACTAAAAACTGTGCGTGGTGTCGGAGAACACGTGGCACGCGGGTGATATACCGAATTCACGACGAGTTGTGCTTGCGGGTGGACAATGTGGCAAACTGATTTTGGGCGGAAAATACCGTAAGATAAATGCACGATCTCGCTCCATACGAAGAAATAGATAAAAATTATCGTGATCATATATTGGCAAAAAATAATACTTAAGAAGAAAATTATAACAAATGTATTAAACTTTGGGAAAAAAAGAAAATAATACGGTCAATCTAATCTCTGAAAAATAACAACATACAACAGATTATAATAACAAAACAAAAAGGGAATCGATAAAACAGATAATTTTACTCAAAACAACTTGTAAAAGAAGTGGGTCTTGCAGTTAAAAGCTCTTTAAAGAACAATGGGCAACTCTAAGTAAATAAATTTGGTAGTTTTATTTCATTGGAGAATAGAGATAACACATAGCCAGTCCTTCGGCCTAGCCACATGGGATCAAGTATGCTAATTTGTCTGTAATAATTACCTATTAAATAAATAAATGAATAAATAAATAAATAATTTACTAAAAAGTCTGAAGGCCCCGAAGCCGGTTGCTTCGCGTCAGGAAGGAGATCAATGAAAACGGGCGACTCCGTCATGACAACGCGCCATCTCATACTGCCTTCATTTTTAGCGAGTTCCTGGCCCGACCCTCTGGGGCAACGCTGCCGTAGCCTCCATACTGGGGTTGCCAACCATTGTCCATTTGGGAGGATAGTCCTTTTTATTTTAAATGTCCTTCTTTTGGTAATTTTTTAGGATTTGTTATAATTTATTTTATCACATAACTACCATCGGTGGCGATGGTGTAACGGTGTAACGGTTAGCATATCGGACTATTATACGCATGTTCGCGGGTTTAAATAACCGATTGAAGACGTGGATTTTTAAGGGCGAGAAAATCCTTCGTACGCCTGCCTTCGGAGGGGAAGTAAAGCCAGCCATCCCATGTTAATAGATTTACTGCATATAAAAGATCCTCAAGCCGAAATGAAGCTTCTTAGCTGAATGACGGCAAAACGCCTGTTTCGTCGCCCAAGAAATACCTCCTTTCTATGCTAGTGAGTGAAGGGAAAGTAGCGAAATTTGCTAAGAGCATTCCTCTTGGTCTGAGTTTCACCACGTAAAATAACGCTTCAGTTCAATTCAATTCAACATCTGCTACATTGTATCGTTCATTCTTTAATTGAGAATACAAAAGATCAATGTCCTTTTTCTGATCGCTGAAACACGCATGCAAATCAGTGTCTCTGTCTAGGAACTAAAATAAAAAAGGATACACTCAGACCATCTTCAACTGCATTTTGGAAACGAATCTTTTCACTTGAATCGCAAATGGAAAGAAGAAAGACATAGAGCTGTTGTTAGTCTAAATTAAATATTTATAAAAAGAGATATGTTGATGCATTTTTGTTGTTTTTCTTTTTTATTTAGTGTCCTCCATTTTACATAAACATTGTTAGCAACCATTCTCCATACGGTCTCGATCTGGCACCAGCGGACTTCTTTTTGTTTCCTCGAATATAGAGAAGCTTAAAGAGTCACGTTATACGTTGGTAGATACCTTGAAACTCACCGCGACGAGGTGTCTGAAGGAGGTTCACGTCAACGTGTTCCTGGAATCCTACCAGAGCTGGCAGAATTGCAGGAAAAGTGTATTGATGCCCCAGGATACTGCTTTGAAGAATACTAAATATTTGTACTTTTATTTGCAATAATTGATCTTTATGGATTTATTAAACTTATTTTCTGGACATACCTTGTGCATTAGCAACGACACATAAGCCATCAGCAAGACAGAAAACAATACCCACCGCTAGCAAAAACGTGCCAACTTGATCCTGAATGTCTACATCAGTTAAATATCCATTTCTTTCATGTTGCAGTAGCAAATCTAGAAACGCAGATCTTTTTTTGTATTCTGGAATTCAAGAATGTTTAATTAATAAGCAATAACTCTGTACCTGTAATGTGATATTAGCACATTTGTATTGCAATCTGTGCTGAATTTGTGAGAAGGATAAGAGAGGCACTTTTATTTGTGTGTAATGAGGAAGGGCAGGGAGGGAATTTCCAATTAAAATATTGAGATCTCTATTACAGTTCCCGTGGATCAGAATACATTAAACGTCACATAATACAATAATTTTAAGTACCTCGGACCTAGCTCTCTTTCTCTTATTAATGTTTATTCCGAAAATTTCAAACTGCCTTGACACGTCTTTCCCATTGCTTGGCATCACCGTGAAATATTAGTTTACAAAACTTCTGATAAATAGTTAACTGTACTACTAATTAAAATGATAGTTACCAGTTAAATAACTCGACCTAAATAATTCCTTATGCTTAATTAACTCCTGAAAGATTCTAGCAAGACCGTGCGAAAAATTTGAGTTCATGAATTGTTTATGTTTCATGCATAATTACGCAAAAAATACTTGTTAACTTATTATTCCTCATTTGATTTAAATTTGGTACCTAAAATTTAATAAACAATTAGAAACTCTCCTTGACACAAATTTGGGCTAAGCTTGAGTATTATCAAGTGTCGCACCTTCCATTTTGTTTTCTTTCTCTCCAAAATCCGCGAACCTAATTTCTTTCTTGGTCGTATATCTAATTGCAGAGTTAAAAAAGGCAAATAATATCTACATTCAAAATGAAGTATTTCGCAGCGATGCTACCAGGCGCACCAGTGTCTGGACAGCTTAAAATCTTATGTTCCAAAAAACAAAACATTTACAAGGCGCCTTTGAAACGAGAGCAGAGCTTCGCCTGGTCTTTGTATTGCTTGTGCATGGAGCTAAAGGTATTCTCGTATAGTCAAGAACTATTAGTTAGTCCTCCACTTTTTCATTACCAGGGACAGGCAACAACAGATTTCTTCCGAACAATCGCCATTTTCCCCCTCAGCATTTCAATAGCAATACTCTATACTGCGTAAGCAGTAGGCGCGAAAGTAATAATCCGTTCTTCTAAAAGAGGTCATGAATAATATTTTAAAATTATTTTATTTTAGAACTTATGAACAAGTGAACTTTATTTAAAATAATTGAAATGTACTGAGTTATATTATAAATGTTCTAGTAAAACCTTCAATATCTCTAAACTAGGACAAAATGGCATAGCCCCTTGTTCTATTAAGCCCTTCAATGCTAGACCACTTGATTATGGAATGACCCCTAAGTACCCATCTGATTTTCCCCATCACGTGCGAAGTACAAGTTTCAGTAAGGGGGGAAAATAAGACAAGGACTAGGAAGGAAAAATCGCGCATGGTTCGTTTGTTATAGTACTACTCCGGTATTCGCCTGTTGTTCATCGTAGAAACGACGAAATATGTAGATCCGATCAGCAAACCGCTGAATACCTTTTCCTCCATGTAGCTGCTGAATTGGACCTGCATTATTAGGTACATACATACATACACACATACATGCATACACACATACATGCATACATACTGTGACAGGTCGCTACGCATCTATAACTGCATCAGTGTAGATATGTAATTTTCACTCACCTCTTTCATTTTCATGTTCAACGTTTTCACTTTCATTCTCCTTGACAAGAACCTCTCTCTTCTTTCTTTGTATTATCTACAATAAAAACCGGTCAAATATGAAGTATAGTGTTTCATTTTGACATTGAGACTAAATAGTTATTTCTTTTACGTACCTTCTCCGAAGTGTCATGTAATATTTTTAAATATGTCTTTTGCCGTTTTCCTAATTCAGTTAAATTGAATATAAAATCTGGGTAGAGCCAAGGCCGTAAACATCTTTGTATAACACAGGCTTCCACGCTGGAGACACATTAAATCACATATGATTTAATTATATATAATTACTAACTTAAGCTTATAATAATATAATTTAACAACACTTTATAAAAATATTTGTATACACAGTAATATAAATCTTTTAAATAATATTCGAATGGAAAAATCCTCACGAGTAGAGCTCGTAGCATTTTCGACGTTTCCACCAACCCACAAATTCGAATTTTATTATTTGGCATTATTGTCCTTTAAAATAAGCAATTTATTAATACTAATTATAATAAAAATAATAATTGGATAATAAAAGTGGAAGCAGAACGTGTTTATTTCGTATTCAGTCAGAACCTGATGGACAATTAATGTTACATTGAACAAATAACATTAATGTTGCGCGTCCATAGCAATAGACAACATATTATACAGATAATTCAAGTTTGATAGACATGACATAAACTTCAGAGACAGGATCATCACACCGCTGTGCATTAATGGGGAAGAATTCAATGTATCCGTTTAATCAACGCGTCACTGGGGTTTATTTTAAAAACCCTGAAAGAGAGTCATCTATGTGTTTACTTACTTTTCAGTCTACTTTTGACTACTGTGACGTGCATTTCGCACGAAAATGCCGTGAATGTACAGCAATGAAGAATACTCACACAATTTATGTTAACGATTTTTGTGATGGCATACCGCGGTAGTGCGGAAAGAGCAGTACATTAATTTCACAGACGATTTCCTAATTTAATTGATCCGCATTAAAATCATATTTTATATCACCTTCAGAAGGTTGCGAGAAATTGGTCCATTATCTACGACCTCCGAACGCGGCCTTTCTCGAGATACGGAACGAGGAAATGACCTTGTGATAGAAGCTGAAGTAAATCCATCAACCAGTGTAAGAAGAGCATCTTCTCGGTTGGGTGTTGCAATGACGGTTTGTATTCTAACAAATTTTGCAATATTCAACACTTACATCTACAAGACAGAACCGCGGATTCAGTTTTGGACATGGCTTCTTCAACGACCTCCAAATGCAGGCAGATATTATTCATAAACGAGATACAGTTATCGAAGGATTATTTTCCTCTTCGATGTCTTTCCTAAATGAGCGAACAGATGTAAAATGTAGCTTACTCATGAATTTATTTTCTCCCTTTCCCGCTACTCCCCACCCCAGACTAACTATAGACAAAATGGATTATCCATAAAATACGGTTACTACATTCTGCTCACCGCAATCTGTTCACATTTGACCATGTTGCCTGAGTAAGTAGTATTTTTATTGATGAAACTTGAATTTAAATTTGTTAATGTTATCTATAATAATGATGCTTGTGCCTCTGCCGATGCGGAACGTTCCCCGGAAATATTTTGTTAATATGTTTTAGTGTGTAATGTGTTAAATACACTATTTTATTATTCATTGAGATCTGATGTGCATTGAACATCTAATTTCTTATAGAAGCATAGACAACGTAGACCGTCTTTTATAAAGAAACAAGTAGTCGTACGTGCAATGGTGGAGGTGTGAAGTATCATTTATTTCTAAAAAAATCCAAAGAACTGTGTTGTGAGCAGACCTGTGAAAAGTAAATGAGTAAAGAAAGAACATTTAGGGAATAAATGAACAATCGCACGAACACTATGTTATATTGGAATTACGAAAAGCTATTAAAAATTAAAATAAATGTTCTTAAATTAAGCAAAGGCAATTGAAAGTGTTTTACACGTGATGAACGGTTACAGAAACTTTTTAAATATAACGATATTAGGAATTTGGAAAAGAGGAAAGTAATTTTGCGCGGTGTAGAAGAGCAACAATGCATATAAGCAGACGGGTTTGTGATTTTGGACTGGCAACATCGTAACAGAGGTCCAGTCTTGTTTACTCAGAACACTATATTCGATAAGTTCATGCATATTACTCAACATACCTTGATACAGCTTCAAGATATTCGTTATTTTTGTAGTCTTGAATATTCATTCTTACTCCCATAGAAGTTTCTAAAAAAAGCACACATACATTAATATAAAATATAATTGCTAAGAGAAATCGATCTAGTGGGGTGAAGTAAATCGATTTTATATATACGTATATTTTTACTAAAATGATAGAAACCTGTTTTTATGAGAATATGGGTTTAGAACACCAATGTAAACATTCACAGCCGTTTACATGTATGGATATAAAAGTAACAAAAGGATATTGTAATGCAACATATTAATGAAATGAAATGATTGACACAATATATTTCTGGTGCGTATTTCGAATCCTCTTGATTACTGTAAAGGGTGGAGTTCCAAAAAGGTGGAAAAGCAGAGGGAGAACTGAGAGCCTCTTCTTTGAGTGAGTAGAGAATTATGCGGATTTAGGGGCTTGGGTTATTCAGAGAGTCACATTGAGTGACTAAGTTATTCAGATCCAGGCACTGCTACATTCAGTGTGCAAGTAATAGTTTCTATTTCAAAATGAAAACTAACCACCAGTTTCGACATCTACTGCAACTGCAAATTTACATTCTATTTGCAAATGAAGAACAATTTGGCCTTGACCTTCTCTCTCTGTCTCTCTCTGTCTCTCTCTCTGTCTCTCTCTCTGTCTCTCTCTCTCTCTGTCTCTGTCTCTGTCTCTGTCTCTCACTCTCTATATTTCTGTCCCTCTGTCTCTGGGAGACGATAGAAGTCACCCTCCTCTGAGATCATCAAAAGTTTTGTGATTAGTCCATGTTCTCGTTTTTGGACGCATAGGGGGGCAAGGTTGCGATACATCGGCGTAAAGGTAATATCGGTCGCGATCAATTTCACCCCATCAGCGGTTGACCTCAATTATGTAATAATTACATGCAGGTTTCAATTGACTTTTCACTATTTTTAGTGATACTTTGAGCCTGGTTTGCGCGTAGAGTTTCCGATTCAGTTGCAAGTGTACAACTCTTTCTGTTTTTTGAGAACACATCCCTTTTGATCTTCCGTCAAAATGCGGTTGGTTTTAACATAGGACTAAACAACTCATATACTTCTAATAAATATGTAACTGGCCGATCGGTCTTTAAAGTGCCTCTCTTCCTGTACAGCATGTTCCCTTCAGATAAATCGATTGAGAATTTTTCCGAATCGGCTAGTTTCTTGCAAACGCTCTGAGTGCATATACCTGATGTTTCAGTAAAAATTCTCAATTTTCTTAAGCCTTGAGCCCGTTCAATTACTCTTCATCTTTACTACCTTTGCAATACCATCAGCAGTAAATCCCCCTATTTACGTTGGTATGATTTATATTCTGTTTCAATTTTCTTGATTCAATTTTCATCTTGCATGGCCCTTGTTCTATTCACAAGAAGCTCCAAAATGTACTGACCTCGTAGAAGTCTACTCATATGGTGAGATTATTTTCTCAATTTCATCTCTAAACCCAGTCCAAGTTATCTAACGAACCCCTTCTGTTTTCGTGGAAATCCAAGCTTTGCTGTTTTCTTCTCTTGATTAGCCTTTTTAGACCAGTAAAACGGAAGTAAATAAGGGAGAATGTTGTTGTCGTTTTGAAATTTGGTTTCTGTGTGTTTTTTGAGTCGCTGAACACAAATATCACATTTCTACAACAAACATTTAGCATGGAAACACATTTCTAAGCAATATATGTATAAAAACCACACCATTTTTCAAAATAACAAAAGCAATTCTTTTTTTGTAAATAATTGTCCTTTATGACATGACACAATTGCCTACATTTATTGGTATTAAGACTTTTTGCTCAAATTAACGGTTTAGCTGTGGAAGTTCCGCGAATTTTGGTGATATATGCGAAACACATCAAAACGAATATTACTTCACTTTATCTCAATATAACTAAAAATCTAGTAACAAACAAGCAATTCAGTGTCCAAGTTGAGTGCGTCATCAATGTCGGTTTTTTCTCAGTGTTTTTTGACACACGAGTCAATCTATGTCAATTATATTAAATATGTTTCAAAATATCAATCATAGGCAGTTGTTTTTATGGCTACCCTGAAGTGCTTAGAGAAGTAAATGTCTATAAAACGTGCATATATAGTGTTTGACGACATAATGATGCATACGACGTCCAAAGAATTTGTTTTTGATAATACCAAGAATAAAAGATAATTAATATCAATGTCGATTACAAAGTTTTTATTAGCAGGAATGAAATACGTTCAAACGAAGGAAAATGAATTAGAGCTCTGCAACATGCAAATGTGTCCTTTTTGAAATAGGAGGAAAACTTGAAATTCTTTATCCACATTTTTCTGTTTGATGGGTGGTTGCGAAACCTTGACATTAGCCAACTAAGAAAAAATGAATTTCTGACTGAAAACCAATCTTGCTGACTATAAAACTATTGAAACTCATCAACGCAACTACTGATATTGGTGATGTTCGTGAATATTTTCGAATTTTCGTTATTCGGCTCCAATTGCTGCATTACGATTATGTGCAGCTGCTGGAGGCAACACTGTTGAAGGGTTGATTATCAGGTTCAGCAACGGCTAAACGTAGAAAAAAAATTCAGAAGAGTGGAGAAGCTAAAGTAAAAAGAATTCCCTTACGCCTTTGACAAAAACGTGTTAGTACATCTCCATCAGTTTTATTGAAATTTGTTAGTTTTTGAGTTACATTAAGATAAAGCGCGATTATTCCTATATTTCATGCGTTTCTCTTACATCACCAAATTTTGCAGAGCTGTCATGTCATTGGAGAAAAAAGCCTTAATAACATTAAATATATATAATTGTAGCTTCTTTCATTTCATATAGAACCATTATTTTTAAAAAGGGTTGCTTTTGAGTTATTTCATAAAAAGGCGTGAGTATTACACATTTTTGTTTTTCAAGTTTTGTTGGCAAACTTCGTGTTCAGCAACCCAAAAAGCATATAGAGACCAAATATCAAACCTATATCAGAACTTTCCGCTATTTTCCCTTTTTGAGCTCGATTTGACTGGACAATTTGTACCTTCTGAGCCTTGCTCCTTTCATTTTAAACTTTTGTCTTAAGTTTAAAGGCAAACTGATTATTCTGTAGGTTTAGAAACTTCAATGAATAGAAGCTCTCCTAGCAGGGTCTGTTAGTTTCACAACTCTTTTCGAATGATTATTGTTCAAATATTCTGTAATAAGGTAAAATTTTTCATGCAGCTCGTAAATGTTTTTCTAAAGTCTCATGTTCCAATGTGATATCTTTTTCTTATAATTTCCTTTCTAAATAATGTGTGCATTTATTTCAGCGGCAGGTGACTTCCGCACAATATATTATGAGTTATATTTCTATCACGTCATGGGCGTCATTTATATTGCAAGTTCCTGTTCAGCCGTGGATTGAAACTGTTGAGGAGCCTGTTCGGGCGCCGATTATAATCGCCCCCCTTCTCCCCCCCTGCGACGATTGACCTCCTCCGCGTCTCCTTCGCGATTGCGATCGTCTATGTCCGGGGAGCTCCGTCAGCGGCGACGATTCCACTCATAGATTCGAGACGAGCCCGAATCGGGGCGGATTTATTTCAGAGGTGCTTGGCTTCTGAAAAGTAGGGTGACTTAACGTGGCTTTGAAATGATTCGATGAGGCGTGATATGAGGGAATTTATTCACCGCACCAGAGCGTTGCCCGCAATGTGTGCGGATGTAGATATTATACATGGATGCAGATCTGTTGTGGTCAGGTCCACATCTGGAGCCGGCGCCATGGTCCATGGAAGTCGATGGACCTTCCCAGTTGTGAAGTCACCCTCCCCGTCAGCCGTTGCCGGTCTCTCTGGCGCATTAGTTAGTGGCTTCCGCCAACGCCATCGTTCTCATCAGATGCGGCAGTTCTACACCTCAAATCCAGAATTTTTTTCATTTAAAACTTATGATACGGTTTTTAATAGTTCCAAACATGTATTAGATTCCGGCGATATTAAATTTAGAACGTATCTTGGAGTTGTAATGCCAAAATCTCTCAAAGTGTAAGACTACAGCAATATCTTACACAAAATAATTTAGATATTCGTGCCCGTTCTAAACCGACATATTATTCAGCTCATCCTAATGCCACCCCAAACATACTTGACATAATTATTGCAAAAAAGCTCTCAACACCCACGCTGTATCGGCGACGCCAAGACGAATTCTCGCAACTCAGGTGCGCCAATAATAAGAGTAGGAAAAAAGCGCGACTTGTTATCTGCGGTCCGCGGCTCGACCGCCGGACTTGCGGCTCATGGCAAGCGCGGTGGGGTCCGATATGACGTCATGCCACCCCTCCAGGACAAGCAGAGCAACTGACCACTCAGCCTTTCTTAAACGAGACGTCGGGGTGTTAAGTATGTCTAAATTACCTAAGATATCTAATCGATATAGTATTATATGTTTATGCATTCCATATTAGCTGAACTACCCGATGTTTCCCGGGCAATTATTGCAGTAAATAAATTATTAGCCAGGAAAAGGAATTTCATTTATTCATTCCCTGCGAGCTACCTCTATCTATTCCATTGTATCCCTTCTCCATTCTGTCTCGCCCAGCTAGCCTTGTCTTGTTTTGCTCTCTATGTGGAAATTTTCGCTATACCTCGCTCACTTTCCCATTAAAAAAGTTTAGATTTTTCTTATTGGAAGTTCCAGGTAGCAAACATTCCTCACTTTATAGCAAAACAATAAACAAATCTAAAGTATAAAATAAAATACTTGTAGATTCAGTACATTATTGATATGTTCATGTGGAGTTTTACATATTTAAATGTAATTTATTTATTTATTTACGTCAAAACAGTTAAAAACTGTGTGTATTATATCAATACTTTCAATAAATTGCCACACTGTGCAACTAACTCTTTTTTATATTTTTATTCTATCGCATTAATAAAGAAAGGTTTAAAATGTATCTCGTGCCAACTAGTGATCTTGAAGAGATTTCCAATTTGGGCAGAGTGTAACTTGCGAGAACTTTCATACAGATACTAGTACAGGAAATTTTGTTTTAATTTAAGGACTTTTATGTTATCTTACACAATGTTATTAGAAATATTTATCTATTTATTTGGCGTTTTTTACAGCCTTCGTTGTTTCCGCATCTTAATTTCCATGCCTCTCTATCTCATAGATCGTTTTCCTCCATTTTTATTTTTTCCATGGCTTCAGTAATTGCCATGTTCCATGTTCTTCTCGGTCTTCCTCTGTATCTTCTTCGATTTGCTATCCAGTCCCAAACTTTTTGAGGAAGACTACCCGAATTTAACCTTCTCATATGTCCATATCATTTTAGTTGTTTCATTTCGATCGTCTCGTTCAAGGTTGTGTGCACTTTGATTTTATTTCTTATTTCATCATTTCTTATTTTGTCTAACAGAGAAAGTCTATAGCATCATTTCTGTTGATTGAAGTTTGTCTTTCAAATTTTTTGTTTGTGTCCAGACATTTGCCCCATAGTGTGTGGGACTCTCTACGAAGGAGCTATTTGTGTATATGCGTTTCTTTGTCTTCACTGAAATAATTGAGTTCCATAGCTCTGAATTCAACTGTCTTATAGCTATTTTTCCTCTTATATTTTTATTTTTCACATCCTTTTCGTCTCTACCATCTTCTGTTAGTGTGACTCCCAAATACTTATATTGTGTATAAGTACCTTCAATTATTCCTATCCTAGTCTCTAAATCATAAGGCATTCCTCTCACCACCATATATTCAGTCTTTTGTACATTTATTTCCATTCCCCATTTTCCATATTCTTCTAACGATTTTCTGAACATATAAGTTACATCATCTTCATCTTCAGCCATTATCACCTGGTCGTCTGCAAATAGTATACTAAAAATGTTTCATCACCTGTTTTCACACCCATGCTTCTGCACTTTCCTTTCCATTCTTTTAGGACTTTATCAATGCATCTTAAACAGGATTGGAGTATACAGCAGTCTTGCCGTCATCCATTAATTATTGGAAAGTCTGATATACATTTTCCCACATTTACAAGACTTTTGTTAAGTTAAAGTTGTTTGCATTTATGTATGTTGTTGGTATTCCCTTTTCTTCCATTGCCCCCCCACACTTCTTTTCCTGGTATAATATCAAAAGCCTTTTTGAGGTCAATGAAAATTATGTGAAGTTCTTTTCCTCGCTCAAATGTTTTTCCATCAGTTATTTCTGACAGAAAATATTGTCAACACAGCATTGCATTTCAATTCTATTTTTTAGCACACGTCCATACAGTCTAATCCGTGTATATACTTGTGCCGTGTATATACTCCGTGTATACGAGTACGTATGTATATGAAAATAGTGGTGGCAAGGGCATACACATTTTGACATCATTTATTTTCTAAAATTTCTAAACTTCAATGTGTTAACCGAAAATAAGATTTATGCCATTCTTTCCTAAAATGCCCTGGTTATATCCGTGAAAAATATTGAGGAAAAAATATTTTTTTACCTTTTGACCTTTTTCACCTTTTGAAATTTTGAGACCTTTTTTACATATTGCATGAATTTCAAGAACAAGTCTGGCAAAAACTGCTGTTTTTTTTAAAAAAATGGACATGATACTTTCTAAAGAGATGCTTTTTAAAACAAGTTTTCTTTAAAGCAAAAATCTCTACCTTCAATACTATCGTTTTTAAATGTTATCTTTTTGAATGTTACTGTTTCCTACAAATATGACTACCACGAAAATTATTTCTGTACAGACATTTGATACGTATAAAGAGGAAATCTAAATAAAACATTGAAGACGTTTTTTAGAAAAAAAAAATTTCAAACATTAAGAATTCCCTATATTTTACGCATAAATGCACCAACATTTTCGATAAGCTGTAAATCTCAATTTTCAAGATCTGTGTTTAAAGATTAGATTTCATTCAGGGAAAATTTCTATATTCAATATTTTAGTTAAAAGCAGACTCAGAAAAAATGTGACATTTGCAATTTTCGAAAAATTAGAGGTTTTAATGAAAATAAAATATTACTGTTCTAAGCGTCCTTCCAGTTATTTGGAGCCATTTTTGAAAAAAAAAAAATAAACATATTGAGGCTCCATGTAGTAGAACTCACCCCCCTATCAAAATATCAATTTCAAACTGTCAGGGTCTCGAGTTCCTTTTCATTTGTGGACGAATATTAGTTCAGATTAATGATTTTGTCGCTAGCTTTCACCACAGACGGTCAGACAGAAGTTTTGCCGTCAATTAATTTTTCAGTATTAAGATCCTACAAAAAATGGAATCTGGGTACACAGTATCTTAAAATATGTAATTTGCTACATAGAGGAACACGATTGATCTACTTTTTCGTTAACAGGACCCGACCATGAGAGTTTTATAGTAAAAAATTCGCAGTTTTCCGGCGCTCGACTACAATATTTTCTCTTCTTAGGATGTAAGGTCATGGAAATTGAAATTGAAAGAAATCGCTCCAGTAAATCAACAATTTTGTGGAACAAACGTAAACTTTTGTATAATAAATAATCTCATATAAACGCTGTAAGTCATATACGAGTAGTAAGATAAAAAATTAGCTACACTATATTGTTTATACCACTTCAAAATGCCAAAGTATAATACATTATAATAGATATAGACAAAATATGGCAATAACGCAGTATCAATCAGATTTTCTTACTTTTAAATTAAATAGTAATAAATAAAACTGGAATCTAAAAGTACTAGTAAAAATATTTGAATCCACTTACCACATGAAATATCCAGGGTACAAAGCGTTAAATATCTATATATATCAAACTCAGATCCACCAACTTCTTTCTCCAATTTTTGTGTTAAAACACTTGCTTGCGAATTAAATACACTCAGGAAATCTTTCAGAATTGAAAAGTGGAACGCTGGGTTTAATAATTTTCTGTCAGATCTCCATTTGTTGCCTTTTCACATAAAAATAAAAAAGTTATTTTTGTATTTGGCATTTACTCTACAACAACAACAAAATTTAACTATCTTACCGGAAGATGTAACAAGTCCTTTACCACCCATATCTTCTAGAAATCTGTACTGCATACTTTTTTTAATATTGGTTTTAGACGTTAAAAAGATCTGAAAAAGTAAAATATTAATTTGCAATATACAAATTTGTAATTAAAATAAAATTATTGGTGCTTCAATCCTCTTATTTTTAACAAAATAGTATAATAAATTACTATTAAAACCCACAAAAGTGTTTCCGACGAAAAAATCCACTTTTGAGAATGATATAAGATTTTGATGATAAAACAAGAATTTGATTCTTTTAAAGGTTTTGGAGTTTGTTTGTTTGTTTGTTCGTTCGTTTGTTCGTTTGTTCGTTTGTTCGTTTGTTCGTTTGTTCGTTTGTTCGTTTGTTCGTTTGTGGGTTTGTTAGTTAGTTTGTTTGTTTGTTTGTTTCTTTCTTTCTTTTTTATTCTTTCTTTCTTTCCTTAAATAAATAAATAATAAGGATTTATGTATTTAATATATAATAAATTTATTTATTTATTTATTTAATTATTTATTTTCTACAAAGCCAACGTAATACACCCAATGATTTGTTTATATTTAACAAAGCAATATCTAGTACAAATAACAGCAACTAGAGACAGTAAATAGAAAAAATAAACTAAACTAAACTAAAACTGAAATTAATGGCGACTATTTATATTAAATAAAAATGAAAATGAACTAATATATCTATTGTTTGAAGTGAAGTTTATTGCTGCATTTCACTGTGTTACTTTCGAGTCAGGAAAGAGATAAATATCACTTTCACCACCGATTATAAATTTGCTAACGTATGAGACCATTTCATATAAAATGCCATTGTTTGAATATCTATCATTTGATATAATATTATAAAAACTAGTTGTGCTACAGAATGACAAACTTTCCCGCATTAGAATTTTATTTCCTTTAGTCTCGGTTAGCTACTCGGACTTTTTACCCACTCTTGCCATCGATCGCCAAAGTACATTTTTTGACGTTTTCTTACTTCTTCGGTTTTGTAATTGTAGACCGCAAATATTATTTTATGATTATTAAAGAACCATGAAACCTCGTGCTAAATGGCATTGTTTGTTGTTGAAAATTTGAAGCCGTTTTTAACACCCGTTTTTAACTGCCGTGTAAGCACTACTGTAAATTCGAAAATTAAAGCCACTTTTCACAGAATTTTTTTAGTTTTCTTAAAACGTAATTTAAAGTGATTTTATGGCCTTTAACTCACATATACAATAGTGTTTACAAATAGCTGTAAATGTGCATATTAAAGGCGTGAGATCTTTAAAAACTTACATGTGTTTAATTGTTGAAAAGCAGAAAAATAAAGCGAAATGAATTTTTACTTCATATTAAAGAATGGAATTAGCATTATCCAATCAAAATGTTTGAAGGAACCATTTGAAGTGAGTTTTTTTTAGCAAAATTGCGTTTGTACGTGTCTGAAAATGCGAAATTTTGAACTGGTTTTCACCGAAAACGGTTCTTTTCGAGAAACTTTATATAACATTCTTTAAAGCACATGTGCTCATACATAAAATAATGTGAAACAATTGTCGCTAATATGAATACTAGAGGCATGACAGATAAGTCAAAAAATAACATTTTTGTAATTTTTGAAAAACAACAGAATAGAACAATAATACGTTTATGTCATCTTACAGAGTACATTTAGCCCTATACCTACCAAAAGTTTAAAGAAAAAAGTCATTTTTAAGAAAATCTTGTTTTTGTAATTTTTTATAATTGCAAATATTTCACGCAATAGAGCGTGAAAGCTACTAATTTTTTTTAAATATACATGACCTTAATAAAAGAAGTCACTGTGGAGAACAAAATGTACTTGAAGGAAAAATTACTCCATTTAATTTTGTAGTGTAGAAAAATAGCGAAATAAACTCACTTTTAAATTTTTCGAAAATTCAGAGTTATTAGTCAAAATTGGACATATGCCGCCTTGATAAGAGTATTTTACTCCATTCTTAAAATAAATTTAAAGGAAACGTTGGAGTCGTTTTTGAGAAAATGTGGAAAATGCACCTGACGCTTCATGTAAAGTTCCCCCAAATTTTGAAGAATGTTTTTCAAAATCTCAAAGATTATACTCGACCCAGATTGACAGGGGTTTCTTCATTTTGGAAAAAATACTATCTATGGTTTAGGCGCAAGTAGTGTTACAGAAACCAGCTGGAAGTGATCAAATACGAATTGATAATTACTTGAACCAATGACTACTTTGCATTGTTAAAGTTCAGTCTGTTAATGAGTGAGAAAGAATTGTTATTGAAGTTAGGGGTGTGTAGAAATTGAAAAGAACTACGATTGTTGTTAATAAAGGATGATTTGTTGGATTGAGACAATGAACTAGAATATACAATACAGAGTTTCGGCGCTCTTGGTGGAGGCTCGCCGAACTAGTGTTTTTTTGAAGTCAAAGCATACGAGAGGCGGTGTAACCAGGGTGTAACCGTACATAACTAGTGTCCGCAACCACCGCGAAACGTAATGCTAAAATATTTTGTTTCCAAGAGGGAGCTGTTTTCACTGCAAAAAATATGTCTTCAATTTTTTTAATGATGGAGGCGCTTCAGCTACTCTATTTAGTATATTCTAGCTAGTTGCATTGAGCATATCATTTTTTCTAGAATTGCTGTACTGTTGGCCTGATTCCACTATTTATTATTTTATTTTTGGTTGTTTCAAATTATTTTCGCGATTGTTATTATTAGCATTACAGAGAACCGTTTCAGATAAGGATGAGAACTCAGTGGGTAAGATTCTTTTACGAGGAGGGATGCTCACGGAGTCGGTTTAGTGTGGGAACATGGGTAATTTTTGAACTTGATCTAGAGTTTGTATAAGATTCTGATAATTTCTTTAAAATGTGAGTTGTTTTGCGTAATTTTGGTTGAATTGCTATACGGAAAAATTATGATTTTGAAAATTTACATAAGAAAGAAACTAGTGGTACAGTATGTGAAAAAAACTTGAATCTGCAACATTTTTGTAAGTCTACTTTACACTTTCCGCGAAAAATGTGAAGAAAGAAATTATAACAATGTTTTAGAAAATATAATATTTAAAATGGCATTTACTTCATGCAAAATTGTGTGAAAATAATGTTTTATCAAAATTGAGCATCCTCTCTTTTAAATATTCGAGAAGATATTGAATTAAAAAATAAATAGTCAATAACGTAGTTGTAAGAAGTCTCGAAGAAAAATGTTTAAAAGTTTTGTAATTATTGAATATTCAGGAAATTCAAGGAAAATCATATCCGCACCTTTTTATAATCGTACATTCCTTTATCCAAAAAAATATTTAAAATATTTTAGAAAATTTTGCGAAAAAATGGAAAATTTTATTGAGGCTTCAAGTAAACTACACCAGTTCGCGCAGACTCCGACGTAAACGGTTGTCCCAACTGCTTGCTGCAACCGCTTGATGGCTCAAGGCGTATCAGTGCGGTGTGCTCTCGGCCTGTGAGGGTCGCCGCGTCCAAGTATAGTTCATTGTCTATTCGTCCAAAGCGGCCACTTCGTTGCAGCCGGAGCATGGGTGTGCTCCACGGGGCTATAGCCCCACGCGGAGGAAGCTTATCTCTGTTTATCGGCGAAAAAGTGCAAATCAACTTGGAAAGTGCTTAATAGTGTCTACGAACAAAATAAGCTCAACAATGGACTGTGAAGCGGGCTCTCTTGGGAGCGACATACGTAGCACCTGCACGACACCAATATCGGCGTTGGTGAAGGCTTCAGTGAACCAGTTATGCTGCCGTTCTACTTCAAGGTGCCACAAACTGCAGTATCGAGCACTAAGAAATTCCTTCACTACCACAGAAGAAAGTAAAACAATTAACATATGGAGAATCACTATTTACGTCCTTCAACAAGTATTTCATTACCAACAATTAGTTCATCAACATTCATACTCCCAAAACCTCACCTCCTTCCGATCTCCCAAAAAAATATCTGCTTCTGCTCCTTAATCGAATTCGAATCGATTCCTTAAGAAAAATCAAATCAGGTTACGAAAGTGTAACTGCAACATTCTCAACGTAATGAAAGAAATGAATTGGGTGAAAAAGCAACAAGCATAAACACTAGTGAGAAAAATCTTAAACGCAAGGAATGTTCAAGTGAATCAGATGTTACTGAATATGGCGTCGAGGTGTCGTCACTCGTTAGCTGACCTCCACGACACCGGGGAAGGAAGTGAAAATGTGTCGGACAAAAGAATCCCTCCAATTTTTATTCATTCAATAAATTATTTATACGTGATAGAAAGCATCAAAAACAACACTTCAGCAGACTTCACAAACAAATTCAATTTCATTCCTTTAAAGACACGTCAAAGAAAAATTTACATGTAATTATAAAAGACTTACCCACTAATTATTCTACAAATGAAATTCTTAAAGAACTAAAGGAATAGAATTATCCAACTTTGAAGGTTTTTAGACAATAACAAGTATAAGAACTCAATCACGGTTGGGTGAACCCCGATAACAGATGTGAAGGACCATATCAAGGCAAGATATTCAACTTAGACTATTTTACAGTGTAGTAAAAGTATAAAAAAGCTTCAAATGTATTACAATGCAAACGATGTCAAAGGTTTGGGCATTTACAGGGTAATTGTGGGGTAACTCCCAGATGAGTAAAATTACTGAAAATCACCATTATTCTGAGTGTAGAAAATCTAAGAATACAGTTCCAAAAGCATATACTGCAATAGAAATCATGTTGCTTACTATAATGGTTGCCCGGTTTAAAAGCCTTAGAATCATCTCCAAAATTTAAAATTACCTCTAAAGCGCAAGGATAGCTTACTTCTCCAATTCGCAATGAACAGATATCAAATCAACCGCCCCCAAAAAACCCCAATCAGTTTTCTCCACCCGTGAAACAACGTCTAGGAGCACATCAAATACAATTTCAACCTCAAGAGATATCAAACCTAATCTCTAATATTACAACTCAAGTAATAAACGCTCGTATCCCCCAAATTCAAACTATAATTCATAACGTCGTAGAAAAACTAAAACTGTGACAAATAAATGCGGGAACTAAAACTTATCAACTGGAATGCAAATGGCATTAAGCGTCAGGAAAATAAATTCATATACTCCATAAAGAGTAATAAAATTAAAGTAGCAACTATTACGGAAACTTACCTTTCGCCTGGAGAAAAATTATATATTCCCGGACATAAAACGAATAGAAACGACAGGATATCACAAACTGCGGCAAATGAAGTACCAATTTTGATATATAATACTATTAAGCACGGGCAGGTTCCTATTACATTCTCGCCAAAATTAGAACCAGTCGGGATAAAAATATTTGTTAATAATAGTGAAACGTTAATAATAGCTGCATACAAAACACCAAATAAAACATTTCCATGTTACATTTACAAGAAAATTTCTAACAGCTAACCCCGACTAATATTGATGGGGGTCGTACCTAGTAAACATACAGTTTGGGGATGCCAAACCATTACAGTCCATGGTAAAATACTTTTTAATTTGGCTCAATATAATAATATTTGTATATTAGCTCCCACAGCTGCGACTCATTTTCCATACAATTCAAATACAGTTCCAGATATCTTTGATATACTATTAACCAAAAGCATAGATTTTCCTATATTCCAAAGCGTATTACACGACCTTCAATAAGATCACAACCCAGTACTAATACCTTTTTTTAAACCAAAAGAAAAAATAAATTCAAAAACGATTCTAACATCAAGAGAAAACTGGTCCAAATATTAATACCTAATGCAAGAAAACTACTTAAACCTCAGAAATATCAAATCTATACCAGATCTAGAATTCGAATGAAAACTTTAATACAGCTATTAACTATAATCACTAAAACAATCTTCGACTTTAAAATGCAGAAATTGTGCTTGCATTTATAAGTCCATTTGAATACGGTTATTAAATTTAATTAAATCCGAATGAAATCTGAGAAGATATTGGGAAGAAACACATCGACCCGACATCAGATCTAAATTAAACAAACTATTATGAATGGTAAAATTACAGCTAGTCAAATTCAGATATTTCAAATTTCAACAATCATTAAAGCAAACAGACATAAATTCAACTCATCACGGGAGAAAAAACTGAAACTGGAGAAGAAACTGAATTGTATCAAAACTATAGCATCAGTTGCATTAACTTTTCTCAGAAATTTGTCATGTTATATTGCTTATTTAACATGAACTTGATCGGAAACACATGGTGGCGAGATATGGAGTGGCTGTAGCGCGTGGTTCATTCAATTCAACCAGTCCTCATTCATTTACGTTTGGGCCTCGGCCCGACTCACAACTGTCTCGCGATGAACCCACATGCTCAAGCAACTCCATGTGGAGTTGGGTGCGGAGGCTTGGAATGAGACGTTACGATAATGTATGATTATATAATAAAGTGTGTACTTCCTATATTTTGGTGTTTTATTTATCCTAGTTTATAATTTTAAATTTATTTTTTGTGTTTATTTGTGTTAATTATTTAACAATAATTTTATTATAATGTATGTTGTCCTCATGCACTATTCATTGTTTATACTTTAGCTCTTATGAAGAAATTAAATATTTCGAAACGTTGGCGTAACTAATTGTTTCTCTAACCACATTGACCAATCCCGGGAACCAATTCTTTATTCAACCGGTTCTTTATTCTTCAATGGCCGTGATTATACAATGGTAATAATAATAGTTTAAATAATAACAATCATATGTCTGTTATGTACATCGTATACAGTGTTTATGCTCTCTTACACATCGTAGGTTGCCCATAACTCATAGGTTAGTGGGTAGCCTAGAGCATAAAAACAGAAAGTACACTCTACTTGAAAGCAATTATATTCTACACGCCGAGAAATACTTACTTCACCGAGATTACGAATGAAATTAAATGTAGTGGTTATTCTTCAAACATACCTCAGCATGTCGTGGATCAGTAATAGACACAACTAAGTACGGTCCAAGCCAGCAACGAACAATGGAACCAAATTTGTGGCGAAGGGAGATCATAATTCTTAGAAGATCTGAAATGACATAAAAATTTCATTGTACAAGATTAAATTTAAAAATATTCGTTATTGAATTATCACCTAAGATCGAACCTTGAATATTAGTTTTGTATTAGTTTTGTGTTTGAAGTTGAATGTTAAGTTGTTGTTTTTTTTCAAATTATTTCACCATCCTTAGATAAAGTATTTATAAATAAGAACTGTTTTTTAGAAAATATTCGTGTTCTCGTAACACAACAAATACTTTATCCACTAGGCCTAAGCTAAAGACTAATGATAAGACATACCACGGCAATTTTTACTACAAAGTTTTACCTTGTGTTAATCCCAATACGACAATACAACAGAAAACAAACACAGCACAGAACATTTAATGCAGTGCTCTATAACTAAAATCCTTAATTCCATGTTTTGGGTTATTTCATTTCATTGATTCGGGAAAGTGTTTCTGGGCGCGTGAAATGAGTTGTTTAATAGTCCCGTAAGTGCAGTGCACGTTACATCCCGTTTGGTTAGGGTGTTCTTCTCATGCTGGTGCGCAAGATCCGGCGTAGACCTACACGTGATTTTGCGGGATTTTCCTCACAGATATCTCCTTGACTTTGATTCCAGTCGGCAAATACTGGAAATGGGAGGGGGTACCCTAAATAAAGTCATAAAAACTTTTTGGAGGCTATGAACTTTGTTCAAAGTTCGAGTTAAAATTGCAAGTTTTCGACCTTCCGGACACTGTTAGCACTGGGAGGTCCGATAAACCAGTATATTTTAACTTTCTGCGAGTTTTCCTCCATCAGTTTTTAACTTACTTTCTGTAGAAAAATGATTATAATCAATTTTCAAAGAGGACAAAACTTCCTAAAACTTTTCTATAAAATATATAAAAAACAAATTAACAAGCACCCTACAAATTTGCAAAAAACAACTACGTGTTCATTTCTCCAAAATGTGTGGAAATAGGTACATGTTTATGATATTAACATCAATTTATAGTAAATATGATAATCAATATCACTTGTAATACAATTATCTCACCGTCGAAGTAAACAACGTGTGCCCAACATCCGAAAATATTTATGCATAAAATAATAAATGCCTGTGTGTTCTCGTGTCCAACTTAATTATTTAAAATAGGAAAAATGGATTTAACCACAAATTGGTAGTATAGTTCATAACTGGATAATTACTATGGTTAAAACACACTGTAGGAGTAAGACACCTCTAGAGGTGAGGGGGCGACGAGGGTGACAATTTATAAATAAAACCATTACGCAACCCGCAACACACACATAACACACACTTCGTGTAGTGCACTGGGGCCGTTGCAGTGGCCGTGACGGAGACTCAATTTTAAAAGTACAAACTTACTGCATAACCTCATTTTTACGTAGCATTAAGCAAGCTACAGACCCAAAAACAAAAACGAATAAAAAAGCAGTTGCAGTGATAAGGCCCTGTCGGCCAACTAATGACATGAACCTACTTCTCCGTTGATTTATTACAATCTGTAGCGTTTTTGTACACTTAGTCAATGCTTGTTTACATATGTTTTAAATTGTTTATACAAGTGTTCATATTTTAGCGTTATAAAATTGTTCATGTACATCTAATGAATTTTAAATGGATATTTTTATTTTTAGGCTACTTAACAATGATGACACCATTTTTTAAATTAACTTTTGTCGTCCAATAGCGTAAAGAACATTTAAGAGAATGGTGCAGGCCTCATGCACGTTGCAATCTCAATCTTAGAAATTACGAAAATCTCAAAAGTGCAATTTTTTGGGAGCGTTTTCCGAAAGCCGTAATATTGTAGACTTTTTTTCCCTTAATGAAATATATTCCTTGAAAACAGATCTTCAAATAAAATCATTATTAGAAATTTTTGAAAATTTGTGTATTTTACCTGTAATTTTGCGCAAAATATTGGCAATTACAATTTTTTTTCTGAGTGTGATTTGTTTCGCAAGAAATATTTTGGTTTCTCAAAGAGCTATTTTGACGTCGCTAAATCGTCTAATTCGTTTTCGCAACTGCACGTAGTTGGCTTGAATTTTCGATATATTGCAATTGGTGCATACTTTAAAATTAATACTTTGTGTGATTTCTTATGACACATTTCGAAGCACAAAGGACGTGAGAAGCTTAACGAAAATGTTTCCTGGATTTTATAAGAATAGATTTATATTTGATGAAATGGAAGAAAATACCCTTTTTGAAAATAGGAAAGATTCGAAACAAAGTAATTTAGTGCTAAACTAGCGCTCCGCACCATTGCGGGATTAGCCGACATCATCGAGAGCGTAACTTGTGGTTTATAGAGTACAGCTGAATAGCGAAACATTTGGCAGCACTGTTTCCATAAGAGACAGTTCTTAATTATTTATCTCGGACGCGCGATAGTAAGAAAATCATCTTGCTATAGGCCATAGTCATCTGACAAAGGAAAAAGTCTTGAAGAATTTTCATACTATAGTATGCAAATTCTTCAGAGCTTTTCTTATGACACATTTAAAGTGGACATTAACTGGCTAATTCAGAATTTATCCAGATTTGCATTAAATCCGAAACATATGTAACTTACCTACGCCGTTCATCCCAAATTCCAGTGCATTCCCAATGAAAGGGAGAGGTATGGGTCCAGGAATAGACGACACTAGTCGAGCCCTTCCAGACATAAACATCAGATAGTAAGGCAACACTATGATGAGCGCCAATAGCGCTAGCCCCATCACCACCGTTGGCAGCATCTTGTCATTCGGCGTCTGAAATTAAAAGAGGTGGATATTTACCAATGTGTGGTATTATAAACTTTATTATGTCGTTAAAGTTAATGCAATGATCTCTTAAAGCATTCATTATGATCAACTGGTGAAGACGAAGAATGGCGAACGGAGAAATCTGTTTGCAGTGCCAGTACCGTGCCGAAGCGTGAATTCAGTGGAATCCATAATTCGGCCAAGTCAGTTGTGGCTCAAGAGTATAAAAGAGGTGCAAGCAAAATCTCCCACCACATTTGTACAAAACGTTTTCTGTGTGAATACGTTAAGAAACTAGAAGAGCTAAAAAGCACATACTTTCTCGCAATAGTATAATATTATTCTTATGTAATATTATGTCTCAATTTCCGCATTTCATACACTTCAAATTTCACTTTATTTCTTAAATAAACGAGGTGTGTCAAATAAAGCACGGCAAAATCAAAAGTGCAATTTCAACATTTCTATCAATATTGTACTCTCAATGTTAATATTTTGTACGCAAATTTCGAAAATACAGAAAGTACGCCGAAAATTAGACTAGAATAATTTTATTTACCGTACCTTTCTCTACACAAGAAAAAAATTAAAGAAAAAAATGGTATCATTTTTGAGAAAAAAATGTTTAAAATGGTTTTAAATGTCCGTTTCATGGAAAATTAAGAAATAAATGCTCATATTTCCGTTTGGGATAAACAAATTTTATCTAGAAAAAAACGACTGAATCAATATATTGGTTATAGCAAGACGCCGAACAAAATTCAACTTTTACAAATTTTAAAAAATAGGGGTTTTTACGAAAAATGAGACCTTCATCATTCTCTTAAATGTCCTTCCCACTATCCAACAACAAAATTTAAACAAACAATTAGATGTCATTTTGTGAAAATTTTGAAAATGTACCATGTGCTTTATGTAAAGTACCTCCCAAAATTAAAATATCGGATTAAAAATCAAGGGGTCGCGACATCAACCAAATCGATTGCGGAATATCTATTTTAGAGAAAATTGGCTGAATGGTGTATCTGGCTTTCTTCACACGCGAACAGAGAAACAGACGCACAGATGTTTTGCCGTCAATCGATTTTTCCGTACCAAGGACCCACAAAACATGGATTCTGGCTGCACACACAATATTTGTTGTATTCACCAACTAGATTTTTCTATTGTAGTGTTACCAGGCTCTATAATAAAAGTTTTTTGACGAAAATACGATGTTTTTTCCAGCAGCCTTACATAACTTTCTCTATACTGCGCAATCATCAGCGAGAAAGTAACTAGTGGTGCTAGAACAGCACATACTTTCTCACAATGTTATTATGTAATGGGTGACGGGACACCCATAATGCTTCATTAATTTCAAACAGAAATTACGCAAAATCTCTGAACTTTTACAAAAACTTGCAGATCTTTTTTAAAGAGCTAAATTTGTGCAACATACTTTGTCTGCAGCAAAATCTCTATCTTACAATTTTGTAGTTAAAATAAATTGCAATTTTCAAAAACCCGAGCAATAGCTGAATATTGCACTAGCGGTAATGTTTTTTACCGTCCCTTAAATCCTCTTTTGGGGCTTTAGGATGCCATAAAACTAGTTTATCTGCAGAAAAACGTTACTTTTTGCCAAAGCACTGCAAAATTGTCTCAAAACTAAATATATTATTCCGTATATATGAACGTATATAGAAGATACTAGTCACCAAATATTTTCCACATATTTTAAAGGAAATGTAGAAGACAGTGTACTCATGATTAATACTCACGAGTGTAAAATATTTTCACAATTGTAGGGTTAATTTATGGTTTAATATTCATTGAACCCTGCGAGGCCTTTGAACCATTCAACTGTTATATATGTTATTTCGTTCGGCGACTGCTTACTTCCCTCGGTCGGAATTGTACTTATATGAGAAGTCAAATATACGAATAGCTGGCTGTTATCTCCGTGATGAAATCACCCAAAGCCACCTTCACCTGTCTGCTTTTGCCAACAGCACCAGAGGGTAATATCACATTAGCGATTCGTTCAACACCATTGATTCAAACGAACTTGGTCAAACTCACCGTGGATAAGCAACGAAAACCTGCGATTTTTCATTTGAAAGATGCTAAAAATGTTAAATGCCTTTTTTTATTTCCGTACGAATAACAAAAGCAATGAAAAAATACCGCAGACCGATTCCGCCTCCGTCAGCGACGGAGTTGGTCTCCGGCGAAGACCCACCTTCCACGGCAGGAGCTGTGAAGCAGCAACCACGAGCAACTGAGAAATCGGGGAGAACCAGCTGCCTCTTATATGCCATTCAGGAACGCAAAAGACAGTCGTGCAAAAAAATGAAGGCCGTCTCCGGTGAAGCGGCGGGGGAGAGTGGCAAAATAATGAAATTATGCTGGTAGAAAGCACTCAAGTAGTAATGAAAGCACGTACTCTATACTTTATTTTTATGAGGATTGAAAAACAAAATTCAGTTATTCCACATCAAATTGCACATTCACAAAGCTTCACTATTGACTTGAATGTTTTTTGAGAGCCAGGGATGAAAAAAGTGACACTTGGTTTTCGTTCCACTTCATTCAGAAATATTATCAATTATTTTTTCAAGAAATCCTAGCTGCGATAATGTTTAAACATTTTTTGCGTAAATACTGTTTCCTTCAGAGAAATATAATTGCATCTAAATAACACATAAAACATCTACTTGCATGTGATGAAAACCCAATTTCTGTAAACATATTATTTAAATAATATTATAATTTTAATTGTTAAAATGCGAATTTTTACTTTAGAATGACACTTAAATTTGTTAAAAAACATTCAGGTATTTAAACATTGATGTTGCGGAGATGTACCAAATTTCAAAGTGGAGCACAATTGTTTTAGTTGTTCGCCGGAGCACGCTGCGCTAAGTACGTGGTGTCAAGGACACGACCCGTCGTGACGTCAAAGCATGAAGGGCGCTGTGAGATTTATGTCATTCTATATGCATCGTAGAAACACGCATACGGTCTCCAATAGATGTGTTCGGACGAAATTCTACTATTAGGTTTATTTATAAACAACTGACACTGCTAGAACCGGCCTTCTTTCTCATTTCTTTCTCTCGGTTGTGTAATCAGATGAATCCGGAAGTTGTGTAAACAGAACTGTCAGTCTTACAAGACTATCAATACGATTGTTAGAGTATTCACAATTTTTGTAACAGTAAAAATCAATAATTACAAATATGTAGGTTTAGGTTGGTACCGCCAGCATTCTTGAGAAGTTAAAAATTGTTTGCCGTCAGAAAATGGTATATGCATCGGAAAAACAGATTTTCAGAATTCCTTTTTGCGACAAGACACGTAACGTTTTTTTCAAGAAAATTAGAATTGTTCATTCTTGTTAATGACACAAATACGTTGGGCAGTGACGATGACGAATAAACGTGCACCGCTATTCCTGGTAGGGCATGCTCACCCTAACGTATTATCTGACGATAAGGAAACTGACCGAATAAGTTCATCTACTGTCTTCACTCATTGTGAGCCGTCTCCTGTATTTACGAGACCAAAATAAACTTAGACACCATACATTTTCATTGACCAGTGTGATTGTATTTTAGGCAATTATTCTTTTATACTTAAAGATAAAATTGAGAGACTGCTGTGAATTCATGTCTGTCTTAGCTACTCTGCATCCATTGCAGCCCTATAATTTAAAGAAAATTAGGAATTTAAACATCGAAACTAATTTAATTTAAACAATATAATACATCGCCACTAATAAACAATACATCGCCACTAATTTAATTTACACTTTTCAGTATAAACTCATAACATTTCTGAAACAAGATTGTAACTGTGTTAAGAGACATTCCGTATTTTTCGGATGGGGTATTACAAAACAATACGAGTTTCTTCAAAGATGCCTTCAGTGTAAGCGCTGAATGATATTTCTTCGCTTTGCAACGTCTTATGGTGAGGGACCCTGCGACGGAAAGAGGTTGGCACCGTCCCCTAAACTCTCAATAAAAGGGTCTTAATGTCCCTATTGTGACGTAGTGAAATAAGAAATAAATTTCAATAACAAAATAAAAATAATATATTCAAAGATTATGTACAAGTTACAATGAATTGCTAATATTAAAACACTCCGGCAACCTTTTCCTTTCGGAACACTGCTTTACCGCAGAAAATACAAGCCACGCGTGATGCGCGCCGTCGGACCTCTGTCCCGTGACAATTACCGTCACATGGCCTGACGCCAAAAGTTAACCCGGTCGTGGCGACCGTGTGCCTACAGCACGTGAGATTGTCTGGCCCTTACTCTCCGGACATCTCGCCCTCACTCCTACACCCTCCTTGTACATACACGTACAAGCTACCCGATGCAAACTGAATGAGAACGCGGGCGCAGATGGCGCCGCGTTAAATAGTTGAGGCTGACACCCCCACCACTGTTCCATAGATAGACTCGCACTGGCGCGAGGCTCGCAGGCCAGCCTTTGGTTTACGCCCACACACATAATTATCAGGTTGCCTGCCTGCTTCCGTAAACGAGGCTCGCCGGCAGCATCCTCGGAGTTTACAGCCTCCGGTATTTTTGGCTCTGCGGCACTACCTGAGTCAACCGCCCGAGCGCAAACTCCCGGATGTTCAGGCTTAACTCCTTCCTCCCCCGCAGCGTACTTTCACCAACCTAACGGTTCTGGCCCTCGTGTTAACGACGCCACACTATATTCTCAATAAAAGCTGGCCTCCATTCATGTCGGGAACCTATTTAATTTACCTAAGTTAGAAGTTAAGAGGATAATGCGAAGAATTATATCAACAGTGATATGACAATAAAAAGAGTAGAAAACACATAGAAAATACATAGTTTCATATCTTTATGAAACAAACAATAAACGATATTCTCTGTTAAGTGACGTAAAAGAAATAACAATTTAATTGACTGTATCACGTACTCTTACTCATATACATATGCCATTCATTTGACATTCCATAAATTG